CTGTCGCCGAATGTGAGACACCCTCCTCCCCCAAGGCCAATGATTGTGCCAGAGCCCCTGCGAGCTAGTTAGCAGGTGACGCCGCCGCTGACGGCCAGCCGGCGAGGTGGGGAGGGAGCCGGAAAGAAGAGGACGCGTTTCCACCGGTGCGGCGAGAATAGTCACCTGACCACCCGCAACGGGGGCAGGGGGGCCCTCTGCCCCTCCCCCTCTACCTCGCGGCACACGCGGGCGCGCGCTGCGTCCTCAGGCGCTCCGGGCTTCCCTGTGTTACCTGCAGCCAGGGCGCCCCCCGCGACGCCGCCATTCATTCCTCCTACACTGCGCGCGAGGCGCGGGCCTCCCGGGACCGGGAGAACCACAGGATGCGGCGGGCGCTCTGAGCCCGAGTTTCGGCGCCAGCAGCAGCGCTGGGAGTGGGGGCCTGTCCTGCTGCGCGCGTCGGCCCAGTTACCGAGACCCTTCCGAGGAGAGACCGAGATACCCAGAGACTCAGGAGATGGAGACACAGTGGCACATAGGTACAGGGGCCAAACATGGAGACAGATACAGAAGGGTACAGACACTTAAAAGACAGACGTAGACAGAGACCGTGACACAAAGATATGGGGCACAGAGACAGAGATACAGACAGACTCATAGAGATAGACTGACATACGGATAGGCAGAGACAGAGACACAGAAGGGCAGTCAGAGAAAAACATTCCAGATGAACAGTCTAAGACTCGAAGAGAAACCTGATACAAGAGCGCGCCAACGGCGGGGACAACACCCACTACCCTGAGCTATTCCCGCGTCCCGCGGGTTCGCGCAGTCCCGCACACCTCACCCGATACCCGACCCTTTCTCTGCCGCATTTCCAGTGTTCCCTCCTTCGAATGCCGGCCCTGACCTACCCCCCAATTCCCAGTCCCCGTTGTTCGCCTCTCAGAGCCTCGGTGCCAGTCTCTGCTCCCGCCCCTCGGGTGCCGGGCTCGCTCCCTCCGCGGCCACTTGCCCCGTCCCGCCTCTCCCCACCAGATCCTGCACCCGTTGGCCGGTACCCTTCGCCTTAGCCACCACTCCCGTCTTGGTGCAGGACCCTCCCACTGCCGCTCCCTTCCCTCTCTGGAGAGCTGGGCGCGCTCCTGACCCCCCCGCCCCGCCTCTCTCCCTTGGCCGGTGCCCGCCCCGCTTTCACCGCGCCCCGCCCGCCGCGCTCTGCGGCAGTCGGGCGCTCATCGTCATTCCGCTCTCGCCGCCGCCGCCACCCCCGCCCCCCGCGCACCGCCCCCGCCCGGTCCCCGCCACCGCCGCCGCCGCCGCCGCCGCCGCCTGCCCAGCGGCCCGGGAGGCGGAGGCGCGGGGGAGGAGGCCCCGCTTGGCCCGGCAGCCCCGGATGCTGCATGACTTCATCCTTCCGCCGGCTCCCCTGCTGAGCTAGGGCCGGTCCGGCAGCTAGCCCGCGGTCCGCGCCCCGCCGCAGTCCCGCGCCCACCCCGCGCCCGCCATGTCCGAGATCCTGCCCTACAGTGAGGACAAGATGGGCCGCTTCGGCGCCGACCCCGAGGGCTCCGACCTCTCCTTTAGCTGCCGCCTGCAGGACACCAACTCCTTCTTCGCGGGCAACCAAGCCAAGCGACCCCCCAAGCTGGGCCAGATCGGCCGAGCCAAGAGAGGTACGCGGCCGGGCCCCGGAGTCGCCGCCTGACCCAGAAACCCTCCGCTGGGCGCCCCCCGGCTGCAGTTCCCCGCCAAGCGCCCGCAGCACTTGCCGCAAACCAGTGCAGCCAGCCGCTCGCCGGCCAGGGTTTGAGGGGGGGTCCCCCCTGCAGTATTGTGTCCCCCTCTTCCCCTCTCCCGGGAACGCAGTGCCCCGGATTTGATGCTCGCCACCTCTGGAAGTAGAGCCCTGGCACCCAGGCGAGGGGGAGGGGCCGGCCGGGGCATTTGGGGCTGCCTGGAAGTGGGAACGTGGGGCGACGGGCCGCTTCTTCAGGATCAAAAACTGAGTCGGTGGATGCTACTGAAGAACCTTCTGGTGGGGAGGCATGTCCGATTGGTGAGAGGGCAGAAGGGCCTGGTTGTCCTGGTTGTCTGTATGGGGAGGGGGTTTTCTTGGTGCCAGGATAGGAAGAGGGATTCAAGCAGCAAGAGGGTTAGGTTGGACTAGCTGGAGATTCCATTTGAGGAGGGGGATCCCATGAGCAAAAGGTTTCTGATCAGCTCGGAAGGAGGCGAGCTCAGGCGGCGGGAGGGTTTGGACAGGGAGGTTGAGCGGCTGGAGCCTTTGGAAGAGGGGGCGTTCCTCCACAGGGAGGGGAAGGGGTCTGTGGGAGCTGGGCTCGGCAGTGGGTTGAGTCGGCAGGAGAGTTTGGATGGGGAGGGCACTGTGGCACGGGAGTCCGAGGGGCGCCGCTGGGCCACGGGCAGTAGCTGAGCGGGGCGCGAGGACACGGGGCCCGTTCTCGCCGCCGCCCCCCGAGGCCGCGCGGCTGACGCGCTTTCTCCCTGCGCAGTGGTGATCGAGGATGACCGGATAGACGACGTGCTGAAGGGGATGGGGGAGAAGCCGCCGTCCGGAGTGTAGACGCGCCGGCTCGGGCGGCGGGCTCCGGGCCCAGCCCCGCAGCGGCCAGGAGCGCGGGCCGGCGATGCGGCTGCCGGCGCCCCCCGCCCCGGCCCAGGCGCCCGCGGGCGGGGGCTGCAGGGCCGCGCCGCCTCCAGGTCGGAGTCGCTGCCGCCGCCGCCAGGCACTCCGGAGCTGTCCGCTTCAGCACCACGGCGGCGGCAGTAGCGGCGGCGCGGACCGGCCGGGAGCCCACCGCCGCGCTCATGCACTTTAGAACCTCGGGCCGCAGCTCCACCCCACACACCGGAACGGACAGAGACCCGCGGCCCTCAGCCCCCGGCCCGCCCCCTCCTGCACGGCTCCCCTCCCCGCCCCTCTCCCGCCGGTCTGGTCTGCAGACCCGGCTGCTTGCCGGGTGTCGGACCGCGCGCGCGCGGCCAGGGATGTTTGGCTGCGTATTTGCATGAGCTTCCCACCCACCTGAGCCCAGCCCTCCAGGCCGCTCCTCACCCCCACCCTTGTCTGGCGTGACCCCAGCCTCAGCCTCTTTCTAAGGGACTTCCTCAGCACATTTGTATTTTTATATCCGACTCTTTGTTTACTGGCTCCCCTCATGGTTCCCCCCCACGGTCTCGGCCACACTCTTCTGCGCCTGGCAGATAGGACGGGTGTTGAGGCTGGGATGGGGTAAGCCCCCAACATGGTAACCAACCACATGGCCAGTCTGCCCAGACCTGACCCCAGGCAGCTCTCTGGCAGACACTTCCCCTAGAGGTATCACCTTCCAAGGGCCCAGGTCTGATTTTACCTTGGACCCCTGTGTCCTGCCCCTGGAAACCTAAATGGGGACTGCTCTGTACCTTTGGATGACACCTGTGGCCCTGGAGATGTTCCCAACCCAGGGGTGTCCTTTGTAAATGTTCCCCCATCCTCACTGTACCAGGAGTGTGTGAATAAACACAGACCTCCCTGTGTGTGTGTGGCCGCTGCTTCGGTCTGCTCAGGAGCCAGGCCAAAATGGCTCCAATACCTTTTGCGGCCGGGGGCAGGTACTTGGGAATCTCAGGTGCATGTTGCTGGTAGGGAAAGGTTGGCAAGTAATCACAGGCAGGCCAGCATGGCCTGAGAACATCGTTACAAGTAGACTCCTTGGGTAAATACATAACCCAAGCAGGATAGGTACCAGAGTTGAGGCTGCAGCTGGGGTCAGAAGCATAAAGCAATCTAGATTCAAAGTCTGCAGCCTCCTGTGGAAAAATCCAGGTTGATTGGGGGTCAGTAACAGTCCCCAGGGATGGTCTCTGAGTCTGGCTGGCATGCAGAGGGGTTGTGCTGAGCTTTGCCCCAGTGGATGAACCACCCAGTGGTTCAGTATGGTGGGGGAGGAAGCTAGGGAACCCAGGAGAGATCTGAGGAACCCAAGAAGAAAGCCAGAAACCTGGGACTTGGGATCTAGTTTGACCCAGGCTGTATTGTTTCATGGGGGGTTGTTCCCATCAGTTCTATCTTAGGCACGAGGCCCCTGGGATGTGAGCACCTTGGACCCAACCCTAAGCCCTGAGTTAGGAATTCCAACTACTTAAGGAGGCCAGGGCAGAAAGGCAGAGAAGGCTGGAGGACCATGCTTCTGGCCTCACAGCTGAATGGCACTGAGGAAGTCCTCATGATCTGAGTCCTGGAGGAAGCAGGGTGAGGTGGGAGGTGTGGGGGGTGAGAGGATCTGGGCCCCAAGGGCCAGCTGGGCCACACTGAGCTCTTTGCCCTTGTGCATGAGGTAGAGATGGAAGTGGAAACCGCTGCTATAGGTTGCATGCCTCAGGGACCAGCCGTAACGGGCTTGGGCATAGTGTCTTGTCCGAAAGTGGGGGGCAGCAGAGGTCAGTGAGATGAACCGGCCCCCAGGGACCAGCACCCGGCTCACCTGCAAAGCAGAGAGAGAAGCCATTGGTGAGAAGTCCATCTCCAGGTTCTTAAAGGTCAGTATTGCCCCAGATGACCTCCCAGGTCCTATACTACATCCAGTAGCTCAGGGCTTTCTATGGCAAGAGAGTGAGCCTTCTTCTCTGCCCCTGGTCATTCCATGGGGGTATGGCTATCTTTTAGACAGCTAGGAGCACAGGAGTGATGTCAGATGCAGGGGGCACTGCTCTCCTGCAAACTGCTCACCCTCCCAGTCTATGTTACCTGTCTGGAATCCGGCTGCTACCTCATCCCGATGGCAACCCAGTAGCTAACCATCAGCCTCTGTAAACCAGGCCACTCCAGCCCCCTATAATCTTGACCCAGCATAACCCTCCCCTTCCTTCAGGTAACCACAATCCTCAGGGTGACCCATCACCTACTCCAAACTATGCCTTCTCCTAGCTGCTGAGTTCTTCCAATCTCCTGAAGCCTCAATCCCCTCATTGCACACCTCTTGGTCTGCCCTCCTCTCTTGTTACTCCCTCACCTCACTCAGCACCTGGTCCACAGTGTGGACACCTTCAGAGGACACGGTCCACGGATCCTGCTCTCCAGCCAACAGGGCATCCAGTGTGCCCTTCTCAAGCACCACGTCAAAGGAGCCACTGGGGAAGCCCAGCGCCCGCACGTCCATGGTCTCCCAGCGCAGCTTGGGCACATGGGCATAGCGAGCCCGCATGGCAGCCACCACTACTGATGAGTAATCCACACTGGTCACATCAGGGAAGCCCCCAAGGTACAGCTCGTAGCTCAGGGCACTGTTCCCGCAGCCTGGGTGGGTGGCAAAAGGGCTAGGTTAGCTTTGGTTCTCGCCTCCCTAATTATCCATCCACTCTTGCCCCAATTCCTCTCAGCCCAAACCCTCCCATATTGAGGGAGAAGCAGCATCGTACAGAAAAGACCATGAGCCTTGAAGTTATACAGACCTGGGCACATAGCCTGGCTCTATCATTCCCAGCTGTGTGGCCTAGGGCAAATTGCTTACATACTAGGAATTTGGATTTCCTGTTCAGAAAAATGAAGATAACGATACCTACCCTACGTGCAGGATGTGATGCACTAAATTTAAAAGGTAAAACAACTGGAAAGTAGCTGAAGGAGCTCTGAACTTAGGAGTTCAAAGATCTGGGTTCTGATTTCCCTAGTCGCACAGCCATGGCAAGTCATTCAACTCTGAGCCTCAGTTTCCTCAGACTCTGAATGGGGATAATATTGGCATTATTAGGACCATAATATTATTATTAGGATAATATTTGTATTATCCTAATCCCTAACCTCTCAGGGAATCTCTGATGATATCAGCCCTGGGAAGACTTCTTGTTATGGGTTATTATCCTACTTTGGTGTTCAAGACAGAGTTAACAAGTGAAGGGGAAACTAGTTGGGGACATAGTGGAGCTGACCCTCTGTAATTCCTTAATGTATGTATTGTGCACTACATATTGGGTTCTGCTGATGAAGAAGAGTCCCCCTCAAGGAGCTCATGCTCTCATGGGAGGAACAGATGTGTAATCAGGCAACTGCCACATAATGCTACAAGTGTTTCAATAGGGACAGGCTGCAGGAGCACAAAGGATGGTCCCTGTCCCCACCTTAGGTGGGTCAGCCAATGGTTTCAGGCAAGCTGACAAGCAGTCAGTCTTGAAGAATCATAACACTCTGGTAGGAAGTGCTTAGAAAGAAGTTCCAAAGAGAGCAGGGTCAGGTGTGAGAAGAGGTGGAGGTTAGAGGAGTGGATGTGGATCCATAGCCAAGATGGCACAACTTCCTTTGAAGATACATTGGCCTCTTCCAGGCCTTCTTGTGGTCAGTCTCAGCCTGAGAACAGGCCAGGATGACAGCTCTTGGTGGCTCCACATGGGGATTCCCAGCTCTTGGGATTAGATTGCCTTTAATCCCCATTCGCCTCCCTAAGAGGATCATGGGATCAGCTGTTGGGATAGCCCTAATCTAGCAGGGTTTGGCAACCAGACAGGGCACCCAGAGACTGCTGGCTGGTCCTCAGCTGCCCCTTCTTGTGTTCCTCCTCAGGCCCTGGGGCCCAGGGAGAGTACTATCTCACTTGGAAAACCCAATGCATCCTTTCCCACACTGGAACCACAGCAAGCTCCAGTAGATACACTGCATGGGATGGTAAGGGTGGCTGAACAAGAGGCCCTAACTCAGTTCAGGCTGAAATTCCCCTGGGTTCTCTGCCCTACAATTGCTTCATCACCTCACACCTAACCTCATATGCCCGCAGAGCTCTGCTCAAGTGTGGACAAACCCACATTTCCTTCCTTTATTCCCCTTGGTACAGGAATGGCATCTTCCAAGAGAACTTTATCAAAGATGAAGGGAGAACACAATCTGACCACAGGGACAGTCATGCTTACAAAGCAGTGGTTTCTGATCCTACTGCCTCAGTGACTTGGTGCCTCTTAGTAACTAAGATGGGGCTTGGGAAGGCTATGCCTCCCTAGATGGAGACTTAGGGAAGCAGAGCCCTGTAGAATTGAGCCAGATCCAAGAACCCATTACGTGGAAGCCCAGAGCTATGTGGATGCAATCCCAACACCAAGAGACTAAGGCATAAGCCAGAATACCAATTCACTAATTTATAACAGGAAAAATAGCTATCATGGGGTCTGGACAGTCAATCCTTTGGTCAATCCCTTCTCTCTCTATATGAAATACAAATTGAATCCAAATTATGATCAGAAGATTCCTACAGAGCATGGAGTCAATCAAGGAAAGAGAATCACAGACTCGTAATGACAGCAAAGCTGAGTCAGCCATATGCATTCAACTGCCATGAGGATATTCTAGCCATGAGGACCAGACACACAAGTCTTCAGGCAGGGTACTCTGTTCTTTGAACAGTCCTGGATAAACTGTCTCTCTGACTCCCATTTTCAATAATAATAATGATAGCTAACAGTCATTGAACACTGGGTCCTATGCTAAGCAACTGACAGGAATTAGATCAGTTTATTTTCACAATAGTTCCATACAGAAGACAACTATTATTACCATTACCATTTTCCAGATGGGGAAACTGAGGCTGCCCAAAGTGGATAAGGAACTTTCCCAAAGTCACACAGTCAGTGGAAAAGCCAGAATTTGGATACAGGCCTGTCTCAATCTAGAACCAGAGCTCTTAAACCATTATGCTAAACTGTCTCCCAGTTTTCAAGAGGCCCACTCACTGTCAGTCATGACATTCCATCTTTAGCTGTATCAATATGACCATTAGGCTGTAATTCACAATGTAGTCATTGTACTAGTTTCAACAGAGTTCTAGATGCCTCTATGCCCATCTGCATGCTACAGCAGGAGAAATAGAAGCTCTGGAGTCAGATAGCATCCTTACTTCACCACTTACTTGCCGCATGACAATAGTGGACACTGTCAGTGCTCTGACCAGATCCCCCTGGAGTGTCCCTAGGTTTTGGCGTGTTTGCTTCTGACAGTTTGTATCTGTGACTCTTCAGGCTGAAACCCCCCTGAGGGAAACTTTACCTCTGATCACAATCCTGCTTGGCCTCTTCCCCTTCCCTGTTCCCTCATTCTCTTACCAATTTCGCCTGGGAGCACTTCCCAATAAATGACTGGGACGTGAATCCTCATCTTAGGGTTTGCTTCTGGGGAACCCAACCTGAGACAAGGACCTAGAGCAGGGGTCACCAAATCCAGCTTGCCACTTGTTTTTGTAAATAAATTTTTATTGGAACACAGCTATTTTTATTCAGTTATGTATTGTCTGTGGTTGCCTTTCCACTAGTTGTGACAGAAACTGTATAGCCCACAAAGACTCAAATCTCTACTATTTGGCCATTTTCAGAAAAGGTTTACCAACATCCATCCCAGAGTAAATCTCATAATACTTATCACTCACCTCAAGGGGTTGTCATGAGGATTTAAAAAGTTAGAAAGAGCCCAGCACATTCCCTAGCACCTACCAGGTGCTCAATTTATCTTTGTTGAGGTGGAACGTGACATAGGGTACTCCCCAAAGTTGTGAGTCCTGTTCTTAGATCTTGGGAATCCTGCCTGGAAAGTTTTCCTTTTTGATTTTTAGACTTTTCTCCCCTCTATCCAGAAAAAGATACCTCCCCATCAAGCAGATTTTAAGGCGGTGTTACTCTGCCAATCAGCAGCATGAGAATCAGCTGTGGGTTTGTTGAAAATACAGATTCCCAGGAAGAAACCTAGACTGTCCCTGGAAGGAGACTCTCAGGGTGCAGTCCAGCTTTCCAGATGATTTTGAATGACACCAAAGCTTGAAAAACAGATCTATGGTAAATCTATAAATAAATTCAATGGTTTAAAAGCACAAAATTCAAGAAAGTCTTTCTCTCTGGGGGAAAGGACTTTGATGGACCACACAAAAAACCTTGACTATACACAGAGCTTTTTATTTCACCAGGCATTATTCTAGGTATCTTTCATACTCACTCATCTTAAAACCCCAATACATAAGTACTCTTATTTTTTTAAGGCTGAAAAATGAAGGCACAGACAGTTAAGTATTTTGTCCAGGATTACACAGTTAAGATTACATGAGCCAAGATTCCAACATAATTAGCCACCTCCAAGGTCCAAGTACTTAAGCACTAGGTTACACTTCCTTCCTAGTCCTAGGAATGTTCTATTTCTCAAACTGAGTAGGGTATACACACATATTAGATTTATTATTTAGACCTTACATATATACATTATAGATGTCTCTTTCACAAATATGAAATATTTCACTTAAACACATGCATGCTTTTACAAATACCAAAACAAACGCTATAATTGGAAGTAAACCCGTTGCTCAATCAAACCTCACTAGAGCCCCCAAGACTGGCAGTGGGAGAAAACCCCGAGGAGGCAGCTGGACCTTTGAGAGTCCCACCTTGCATCCCAGCGCTTGTTTCTTTTGGGGGATCGCACCAATCTCGGCTGCAATCTCCCCTTCGACCTCAAAGGGCGCTGTCCTCATCCTCACTGTACACGGGGCACAGGACCAAGTTTCACATAGGGCTCAGAGAGTGACAAGATAACTCTTTCTAGGCGACAATTGCTCCCGGTGACCATCGGCGCAAACAAAAAAGTGCTAGGCGTTGTGCTCGAGATGCCTGCACGTGCCTTATCCGACTTAAGCTGCAGTCCCATTTCTAGAAGTGAATCTGAAGCTCAGAACGAGTTCACGACTTAAGTCATACAGCCAACTAGTATTGGGACTTGAACTAGGTCCTCTGAGCTCTCCAGCGCTCAAGGCTGCTTCCTGAGGGTCCGGAACGGGTCCTGGGTCACCTACTACGCTCAGGCTCAGACTATATTTCTCCAGCGGGCCCCCGGACTAAGAATCTCTTGGCTCCTCTTTGCCCTGGCTAAACACTGCCGAGATTCTGAAAGTACTGGATCTTGGCTCCCAACTGGGGTGTCCTCTGAGAGGGGCAGACAGACGCAAAGAAAGGGGATGGGGCCAGGCCAGGGCAGGTCCAGCCAGCTCCATCTGGGCTGGGCAGCGCCTGGACTACCCACCTAGCACGAGGATACGGTCTTCCGGCCGCAGCTCCGGCTCTAGGAGGGCACGGAAGGAAGAAAAGTCCCCGAACCACTCGTAGGGAGCAGAGTCGGCAGCGCTCCGGTAGCGCTGGTCCCAGTACTGCACCTCTCGGTACTCGCAGTTCTGCTCCGGTAACTCTGGCTGAGGCGCGGGGGCCCCTAGAGAGGCCATGCTCTCCGCCGCAGGGCCTGCCCAGCAGCCGGCCGACACCTTTGGGCGGGGCTTGGCGCCCCTATGTAGCCAATCGGGATGGCAGAATGTGGGAGGCGTGGCCTTTGTGTTTCCGCCCACCACCTGAAGCGGTTCAACATAAACACGTGGAACTTCCGTCCCCTGCTAAGCGCTCTTCTAAAAATCCTCCGGCTAGGGAAACCATATCGTCCAGACCCCGACTCCTCCGGTTGTACTGCTCGCTCATTTCCGAGGCACACTCATGGTATCAGACTCACTTGGGCTCATCACTGCCTCCTCTCATATTTTTAGTTTGGCCGGCTCCTTCCATTAAGAAGTCTGAAAACTAATGAAAAACTCATTTCTTTCCTGTTTTGAGCACACAGAAGACTCTGAGGGGAGGCGGGGGGGGGG